ACGACGACGTGGTCGTCGGCGCGCAGCTCAAAGCTGCAAACCGCAGGACGTCCATTGTTGTGTACATTAGTTTTTTGGAGCTGGGCACATGCCTTCAAGAAGAGGGCGCCTGGCTCCCGCTGGGAGTCCTTCGGTCAGAGGACAAGAAGGATATCACCGCAGCGGGCGTGGTGAGGGCCATCCTGCGGCGCCTCTTCCTCGGGCCAGGAGGCGGCGGTTTCGACGTCGGCGCGTCTCGGTTGCATTTCAAGTGCCACAGGCTGATCATGGACGAAAGCGCGGGCAAGGACACCTTCTCGTACAAGGGCTCCAGCGGTTGGCGGCCCTGCTGCAACTGCAAGAACGTCGTGCTCGACCAGGGGACTGGCACCCTCAGCCGTTGGGACCCGTCTGGTTACCTGGTGGGTATCGCTTGCGTCGACGCCTCGAGGTTCGACCCGATGACTGCGGAGGCGTCGGGGGCGGGCAATGCGCGGCCGACGCTCGGCGAGTCCAGAGAGTTCACGAACGGACTTCGCGAACTCCCTGGAATTCGCGAGCGGAGTTCGCTCGGCCGGCCCCCGCCAAGGAGTTCGCGAAGGGGTGCGACGAACTCGTGGAACTTCAACGCACGGCGAGTGCAGTGGCCTTCCAGAATCTCCAATCCGCGTACGGCATCACAGTGAACGAGTTCTCGTTGATGGCCGACGTCGAACTCCGACGCGTTTGCTCGCTGGACATGTACACGCGCGACCCGATGCACATCATCCTGGCGAGCGGAGGCACGTTCCAGGTGGAGGTGTTCTGCCTGCACAAAGCAGTGGCGCGCGTGATTCCAGACGTGTGGGATCGGTGGCGAACCGATTTCCAGCGCTGGGCTCCAGGCCGCGGCGGAGGGAAAGCTCCCGTGCATCTCTTCTCCCCTGCCAGGAAGAAAGCCTGCGTCGAGGCAGGGCATTTCGTCGGCTCCGCGTCGGACTGCCTCGCCGTCCTGCCGTTCCTCAGGAACTGGCTGCACGTGGATTTCTTGCCGCATCACGCGCCGTTCCTGCCCCAGGCGCGGTCCTTTGAGGCCATGTATGCCGTCATGGAACTGTACCTGGCGGCGAAACGCGGCGGCTGCCCAGACACGTTCGATGTTGATTTCAAGCGCCATGTCGGGTTGGCGCTCAGGAAACACGTGCGGGCCTACACGGACGCGTGGATCGTGCCTAAGCATCATTATCTTTGGCACGCAGCTGTGCAGGCGGCGGAGGATGGGTTGATGCTCGACTGTTTCGTGCTCGAGCGAAAACACAAGCTCATCAAGGACACCGCGGAGCACTACGACCGCTTGGGCGGCATGGACAAGGATGTGATCACCCAAGTTGTGGCTACGTACTTGCACGAGTCCTCGGCCGCGCCGCGCCAGTCGCACAAATGGTGGCCGACCCCTGAGCTCGACGGGATCATCGGGCAGCGCGGTTGGGGCCAAATGGGCTTTGGTGCACGCGCGAGCCTCCATGGGGGGCGCGCCTGCGGGGGCGCCTCTCGGGGCAACGCCGAGGCTCGCACGTGCACCAGGGCCTATCCAGGCACGGCGCCATCACTTGTCGTCGAGCTGCTGTCGGCGGCCTCGTCTACGGCAGCGGGGACGTGTGGCTCGAGGGCGACGCCGCGTTCCACGTCCACTGCGTGGCGGTGGCCGCGGGGCGCTCCTACCTCATCGTGGAGCCGCTGGACCTGGCGTCGCGGCCTGCGCCTGGGGAGTCCGCGTGGCGGCCACGAGGAGGACCGAGCTGTGCAAGGAGGAGGGAAGGGGGAGGAGGGGAGGGAGGGGGAGGAGGAGGAACAGGGGGACGAGGAGGAGGGGAGGAGGAGGGGGACGAGGAAGGAGAGGAGGAGGAGGAGGAGGAGGAGGAGGGGGACGAGGAGGATGGGATGGCCCACTACGCCGCCGCCCCATAGGATGCGGCGCGCTGGCTGCTGAGGACGCCCCGCGGGCGCCTGCGGCGTACACCCGCCGAGCCGAGGACGGGTCGGTCCGCGCGCTGGTGTAAAACGCGCGCGCGCGGCGGTGCACCGCCTGGCGGTGGGCCGCCTGTTGTAAAAAATCACGTTCGCGCGGCGGTAGCCCGCCTGGCGGCATCCCGCCTGGGGAAAAGGAGGGACGGAGAGGAGGGGGGCGGGAGCGGGGCCCCGCAGGCTGCACGGATCGATGGCGACGCCGACGCGTTTTTGAAAGCGCCCCCGCCCCCCATTTTCCATACGAAAAAGCAGACTTATCGGACTTATAAATTAGATATAAGTTACATATAAGTAAGATATAAGTAAACTAGTTTTGATGAAGATGCTAGATATAAGTAAGAAGAAGTAACATACATGCAGCATGTAACATATGTCAACGCCATCACCAAAGGCAGAGCGGCCTCCGGCACCGTTTCCGGACAGATCTGGTGGATCCGCTGGATCCGGTGACGAATCCCAAACCGGCGCCCTCGCTTGAGACATCCTCACAAAACCGGCCCCGGGGGAGGTGCCCAGAGGAGCCCAGAGCGGCCTCCGGCACCGTTTCCGGACAGATCCGCATCCGTGATACTGGAATCCCGGTGACGAATCCCAAACCGGGCCCTCGCTTGAGACATCCACACAAAACCGGCCCCCAGAGGAGCCCAGAGCGGCCTACGGCACAGTTTCCGGACAGATCCGGTGGATCCGGTGGATCCGCCGACGAATCCCAAACCGGCGCCCTCGCTTGAGACATCCTCACAAAACCGGCCCCGGGGGAGGTGCCCAGAGGAGCCCAGAGCGGCCTCCGGCACCGTTTCCGGTCAGATCCGGACAGATCCGGTGGATCCGCGCCCCGGGGGAGGTGCCCAGAGGAGGAATGAGGAGGAGGAGGAGGAGGAGGAGGAGGAGGAGGAGGAGGAGGAGGAGGAGGAGGAGGAGGAGGAGGAGGAGGAGGAGGAGGAGGAGGAGGAGGAGGAGGAGAAGATGATGGAGCTGCGGGGTGGAGGAGGACAGACGGAGGCAAGAGAAGGATGGAGGAGGAGGAGGAGGAGGAGGAGGAGGAGGAGGAGGAGGAGGAGGAACCTCATCACCCTCGCCAACAAGCGCACGCACATTCTTCTATATACAGAAACTCCCGATCAACCGCAGAGCGGCCGGCTAGTAATCATCATCCTCCTCCCTCACCTGATCCTCCTATTGCCCCCCACGCGTTCCCCGAAGGCTTTCCAAACCGACTCGGGGAACAACTGGCCCGATAGCTTGGCCAAGCTCTAGCCCAGCTGTTGGCCACATAGGCGCTTCCAAATGAGCAGGGGGCGGCGGTGACTCGCCGTAGACGTCTCAACTAATACACACATATATGCATACACACATATATATGCATACACATGTACAGTACATGTGCATGTAGATGTATATGTATATGTGCAACAATGTGCGGCCCCATGAGTCCTTAGACAGTACTCCTTAATAAGTGATTATGTTCGAACGACTCCCCTATAAGGCTATTGACGATCCTCCCATGAAGGATTCATTGGTGAACGTTTTCTGTGCGTGCTACTTTACTGACGATCCTAACTCACGAATCCACACGAAGGTCCAAAGGTTTTCCTTAGACAGGATTCTTCATCAACGCTTCCTTAACAGTAACTCTTGCCTCGTGGATCCTTCGTACAGACTTTTATTTACAGGCTCTTCAATCATAGCTGCTAGGGAATTGTGCATGTGCTCCTTAGGATTGACTCCTCACTAAAACTTCCTCTGTAACCATCTCTTGCTGAAAAATCCCCAGTGCCGCTCCCGTAACAAGGACTCTTCAGTAAGGGCTCTTTTTTGTACGGGGTCTCCACGGTAGACCCTTTCACCAAGGAGTCTTTCATGCGGATCTCCTTCTGGGGTGCTTTAGTCCGCCGATCCGGCGTGTGAGTTGAAGGGGGGAGGGGGTGACCGGGGTGGCTCTGCCGGGGTAGGGGGAGGGGAGGGGGGGGTGTCCGGTGGCGTGGGTTCCGGTGGCGTGGAGGGGGGGTACTCTGGAGGCCGTGGCGGCCTCCTTGGAAATCCTGGGGGCACCTTCGGCCAGGGACACTTCTAGCAACAGCCGACGAAGAGAGAAAAAGGAAGGGAAAATGGGAGCCGGGAACGTGGCCCCTAGACCGCAATATCGGATCCACAGTTTTGTGCCACAGGCGGATTGTATAAGGTGCGGCAAGAGACTTCTGCTTCTGAGTAGCGAATGGCTCTTATTTCATCGTCAAGCTCCGCTTTATATACGTCTGCAGTCAGCTTGCCAACTGTGAAAGCCGAAATCAAACGTATGTTCCCTGAGCGCTTGGAGAGACGACTGAGCATGTGATGGATGATGAACTCGAGGACGGACCACCCCCCTGGCTCGCCCACCCCTCCCAGACCCCCTAGCAAACCGTCGCGCCGCATCTTTTCTGGCTGTCTTCGCGATGGCCGTCTGCTTCCGAGTCATCTCTGCGCGCCCCTTCCTCAGGTGCTCTGCTCCTTCTCCTCCTTTCCCTCATCTCTGACCCCCCCTCCTCCTCATCCCTGCGCTCCTCCTCCTCCTCCTCCTCCTGTCCTCTCCTCCTCGTCCCTGACCCCCTGCTCCTCCTCTTCATCTCTGCGCACCTCCTCCTCCTCCTCCTCCTCCTCCTCCTCCTCCTCCTCCTCCTCCTCCTCCCCCTCCCCGTCCTCCTCCTCCTCCTCCTCCTCCTCCTTCTGTCCTCTCTTCTTCCTCTCCTTCTCTCTGACCACCTCCTCCTCCTCCTCCTCCTCCTCCTCCTCATCCTCTCCTTCGCCTCCGCCTCCTTCTCCTCATCTTCCTCCCTCTGCTCTCGCTTAGGCTCCCGCTTCCTCTCCGCTCCTGCCCTGATGGCCACTCCCCCCTCCCGCTGGTGCCGCACGCAGGCCCCCAAGATGGGCGCAGACGCACGGCTGGTGAAAGCTCCTGCGCCGGGGATGGCGGCCGGCGCTGTCCGAATTAATGCTCGGAGGCGGGAGCTCGGAGCTCCCGTGGCGCGCCCGGCTCACTCGGCGGGGCCGCCGACCCCGCCCTCGGGTCGCGCGGCGGGACGAGGGCCCTGCTGCTGCTCCTTCTCTGGTCCCGCCCAGCATTGGTGAGCGTTCGTGATTGGTGGGCGGGCACCAACAAGCTGCTCTGCCGTTCGCTCTGGCCAGGCGCTGAGCTTGTCATATCCTGTGTGGTACTAACGCCGAGATGGGGTCGGCTCCTTCGGAACAGGTGCTGTGTGCGGACGGACTGGAGGAGGACTTTCCAGGACAGCCCTTGCATGATGTGTGTCGCGAGCATGCGCTTTTGGTCCCCTCTACCTTCCTCCCTGCGTCCGTCTCATGGCGTACCAGAGTATACAAGGACGAGTGCCGACGGGAAAACACACATGCAGATCGATTGCATAGTTATACACCTGTCTCGATGCGAGAATCAATTTCGCGAATGCAGTGGAGGACCAGTCAGCAGTCCAAGTAGATGCTGCGATTCAGACAGGGGGGTAAGGGTATACCTCGGTGCAAATTGGCTCGGCCACGAATCGCCTCCAGGAAGGTCAATGACCCCGGGATGCAGGCCAAGTTCTGGGAACTCGTCAGGACCTTCAATGCCCCCACCCTGGGATACGAGCCCTACCGCCCAATGCGCCCCAACGGATGCCCAAATGAAGGACTTCGCGAATGAACGCCTCCGTCTGACCCTCAGAGCCCACACGAGCCTCCTGGAGCAGCACTGACACACTTCGGGGGCTACCCATGGGGAGCTTCCCATACCATCTTGTTGGCTTTTACGGATCGACACTGTCACCGATTCCCACACGCTGATCGACGCTAGAGCGCTGTGACAGCGGAATTACGAGGGTATAGAAAAAGCTCTGCTACCGAAACACAAGCACACATCCGCGGCGAGCGAGGGATGGCAGGTGAGAACGGGGAGGCCTGCTCAAAGGGCGCCGCGCTTCTCAGAGGCCCTCTGGCCTTCTGAGAAGTTTTTCGTATCTTCGGGGGAAGCTGGGGAAACTTTTCAGAAGGCAAGGGGACTTCCGAACCTTCAGAAAAGGCGTTAGCTCCCCCAATGCGTGCCGCAGGTGGTTTTTGGCGCGTGGACGTCCACGCTGGAGCGGGCCCGCGTGGGCACATCGGGGGAAGCCTCAACTCCGCACGCGAGAGTATCACGCGAATTCAGTCGGGCGTCTGCCTGGCTACTGCTGGCAGCAAGCGATGGGGGGGGGGGGGGGAAATGAGAAGGGAAGGCCTTCTCAGAAGGCGGCGGCGCGTCTCAGGAACCCTCTGGCCTTCTGAGAGGTTTTCTGTCTCTACAGTCGGCCCGCATCAGAAGCATGAGCGATGAGGTTGCAGGGGCCTCGGACTCCCATTCCGAAGCGCTTCTCGAGCGGAGCGCGGCCAGCGAGAGTGGCCCAGCATGGACCGAGGAGGCAAGGATGCAAAGGGCACCCTCGGGAAGGATGCCCGTGCTCATCGTGCGGGTTGGCTGTGCGGGGAAGGCTTCGACAACCTCGCAGAGGGCCGGGCACTCCCGAGCCCCCTGCGGAGGCCCGCGCTGGGGCTCCTGCCGCAACGCGGCCACACAGTCCAGGATCGGTGCGCGGCTCCCGTCGTCCAGGAGCGCTCTCGCTCCGGCGCGGGCAGCACTTCTGGATCGTATTCTTGCCTCGTCGCTGCAATATCCCCGCTGGTGTCTCTGCTCCTCCTCCTCCTCCTCCTCCTCCTCCTCCTCCTCCTCCCTCCTCATCTCATCCGCCTCCTCGTCCTCCTCCTCCTCCTCCTCCTCCTCCTTTCCTTTTCCTTTTCCTTATAAACAACCCCTCCCTGTCGCACCCCGAGGCCGGTCGAAAAGGCGGGCCGGGCGTCTTGACACTGAAGCTCAAACATGAACAACACTTTCAAAGATAGAGGGCGGGCCGCTTCTAAAATGTGGCTCCCGCCTTAGCGCCGCGCATGTGCGTATCAACAACTTGCAAGTGCTTCACGGTTTGAGGGCGAGCTGTTTCCAACATGTGGCTCTCGCCTTAACGCCGCGCGTGTTCGTTTTGGACATTTGAACACATTTAACGGATCGAGGGCGGTTCGTTTTCAAACTGTGGCTCTCGCCTCAGCGTCGCGCACATTCGTTCTCAGAATTTGCAAGAGTTTCTCGGATTGAGGGCAGTCCCTTTACAACATGTGGCTATTGCCTTAGCGCCGCGATCACTCGTCTTAAACATTGGCAAGAGTTTTACGGATTCCCACGGTGAACGTTTCAGAAAGGGTGCTGTGGAAGGACTCAGGAACGTGAAAGCGCAACAATTATGTTGATTCGGGGTGTTGAAGTCCCGGTAATGGTGTTTGGGCACGCTTCAGGGTCTTCAAACGGTTCTCCCAACGAGGTAGCTCCCTCAGTGGAAATGAAACTTGTAAGGGCTTGTGAAGAGGTAACTTGGAGGGAGGGTTTATTTCAACATCGTTGATGAGTCTTGGGGTTACACTGGTCCTCCTCCTCCTCCTCCTCCTGCTCCTCCATTGTGCAACGCCCCATTCTTCGGTTGCGCGGCAAACGTTGGGTCAAATCCTGCAACTGCCAGTTTGGGATCAAGATCCGCCAGGCCACCCTGGTCGGCGGATAGAAAGGGATTCAACGGAAGGCAAAGAAGTGAGGGAGAGAGGAGCAGGATGTCAGATGGGACACGTGCGCACCTCCATCCTCCATTCTCTCCTCTCCCCCCTCTCTCCTTCCATCCCTCCTCCTCCCCCATGCATCCTCCTCCGTTCTTCCTCCTCCTCCTTCTCCAGCTCGTCCCTCCCCCCTGAATCACTGCGGACCGTGGCGTCTCCTCGGAACGCAGACCTTCCGTCCTCCCCCTCTCACTGCTCTTCCTTCTCCTCCCCTTCCATACCCCCCCCCTTCTCCTGCTCCTCCTCCTCCGCCTCCTCCTCGTCCTTCCGCCGCCTCCTCTTGCACCACCCCCGCCTCCCTCCTCCCTCCTCGACCCCTTCCTCTCCTCCCCTTCCTCCTCGTCATTCTCTCTCCTTCTCCTCCTCGTTCTGGTAATGAGGCCCTTCCTGTGCCCTTCAGCTGTCAAGCAAACTATCCAGGGTGAAATGCCTGTCCTCGGGGACATCCCGCGACGCCGCCCCAGGCAGCCCCGGCCCGCTGCGACCCGCAGCAGGCGACGGAACGGGACCTGGCCCGCAGCACCAGGTGACAGAAGCGCGCAAGCCGGCCCGCTGCGCCCGGCAGCAGGCGACGGAAACGCGCAGGCCGGCCCGCTGCGACCAGCAGCAGGCGACGGGGGCGCAGCCGGGCGCCAACACGGCAGCTGCGGCCGCGCGCGCGGGGGAGCTGCGCGCGCAGGCAGAGGCGCTGCGGCCCTTCCCCCCGGGTAGGAGGCTGCGGTCGCCCTCCTGCAGTTCGCCGCGGAGGCCGCGGACCGCGGCGAGCGGCAGCACGCGGAGGACGCGGCGGCGGCCGCTTGCGCGCCGCTTGCGCGGCTACGGCGGCGGCCTGGCCCGCGCGGGCGGGGGCCTGGCGCCGCGCGGGGCCGGGCTGCGGCCGCCGCGGCAGGCCGGGGCCGAGGCCCGCCGGGCCTCGGGCGGGCCAGCGCGCCGCCCTCCCCCCCCTTCACTTTCCCCCCCCCCCCCTGTCGTCTCCTTTCTCTTGCCACAGGGCTCCTCTTGCACTAGTGACGAAATGCATCGGGGGCGGCCAAGACGGGGGCGTCCAAGAAAGGGGGGGCGCAAGTACGGCCGGCGGCCCAAGGGGGGCCAGGGGCGTAATGAAATACGAAGAGGCGCCACATAAAACCTAGAGAAAAGTATCATGGCCCAAGCCATGACACCTACCCCCCCTAGCCATCACCCCCCTCTCTGCCGCCCCCGAGTGCAGGCTCCCAGACCTCTTCCCCAGGGCCAATCCTCGCCCCGAGCTCTCTCTCTCTCTCTCTCTCTTGACGGCCCCGAGGCCTTCCACTCGGCCCCCAGATGCCAAGCATCTAAGCAGAGCGCCCCCGATCCACTTCCGGCACCGTCCTCTGTCCTCGGCCACCTCGTCGTCGTCGTCGTCGTCGTGGTCCTCATCTTCGCCCTCGTCTCGGAGGTTGCTAGAAGGTGGGATGAGGACGAAGAGGAGGATGAGTAGGAGGAGGACGATGAGGAGGAGGAGGACAAGGAGGAGGGGGAGGAGGAGAAGGACCAGGAGGAGGAGGAGGAACAGGAGGAGGAGGAGGAGGAGGAGGAGGAGGAGGAGGAGGAGGAGGAAAAGGAGGAGAAGGAAGACCCCTGGCCAAACGTGCCCCCAGCCTGTCTTCCGTACTTTGCAGCCCCATAGGGCCCTCTGGACCTCGAGGGGGGGTGCTCTGGAGGCCGTGGTGGCCTCCGTGGACATCCTGCGGGCACCTTGGGCCAGGGGCGTTTCTGACAATGCCCGATCGTCCCCCCCCTCGTCCTCGTTCTCGGGATCCTCCCGCTCAGCCTCCAGCCCTCCTTCCTTCTGCCCCTCCCGTCTCCCCCTGCCGAATCGCGCGCGCCTGCGTCGCGACGACCCGCGGACGCGAGGAACGCCTCCCCGCCCTGCCGGTGTCTGTGGAGAACCGATCGTGCCGCAGCCGCAAACTCATGGAGGTCCGCGCGGACCTCCAAAGTTTTATGCTCGTGCATTTTTGTTCGTTCCCCGATGCCTGGGCCCTCGATGAGGACGAGGGGGGGGGAGGGGGAGGTGGAGGAGGGCGCTGGGGCCCCGAGGTCCCCCGAGGCCACGCCGAGCGCGGCCGCGCTCCCTATATCAAACATGACTTTACCACGCATCCATTCTGATCCCCATCAGGCCCGCGATATCCCTCCAAGGACCGTGACTGCGTCAACTTCATCGCTCACATCGGCCTGCGACATCGCCTTCCTCCTCTACCTCGACATCGGCTTCCTGCTCGGCATAAACTTCCTGCTCTACCTCTACCGCGACGTCTTCAACGCGCTGGCGCAGCCCTGCCCGGCACAGACGACTACGACGAGAACGCGCAGACGCACGAGTACTACTGCGCCTCGACCGAACACG